AATATTCTCTAATTCTTTCAAGAAATAAAATATTATTTGTGAATAAAATTAAATAAAAAAACAAGTAAACCAATAGTAATGCAATGAGGAAAAGAAAAACTCTGAATTTTTTTAGAAAAGTATAAATACTAATATCAAGAAACAAAAATCTTTTAAAATTACTACTTTTGTTGTTGCTAGCATTTAAGTATATGTTCTCTATAAGAAATTAGTTCTCATAAATAATGATTCGATATTATCATAAAATAGACCACAAACTTTAATAATGACTTCATAATAATAAAGTTAACAGATGACTAAGAGTATCATAATATGGTATAATTCAAATTCTTCTCATCTGAAATATTTTACTTCTAAATATTGTCTCATTGTTTCGTTTTGTTTTGTTATTATTGAAGAATCATTAAAGGATCTTTATCTTGAATTTTTTAAGAATTAGTTATGATACAAAAGATTGGACAGTAAATGCAATAAATATTATTAGACACATAAATATTGCAAATCCGAAAGAATATGGAAGGTATCTATCTTCCAAATTAATAACACTGAAAAGGGAATGTTTAATACTGATTAAAATAATTTTGAATGTTGAATAAGTTGTCACTTTTTGATAAGAATTTACAATCATAACTGTGTATTGTGCTCGATCATACGCTCAATTGTTTTAGAGTACATATTTTCATGTAATGTGTGATGATTTCAAAAAAATAATTTAGCATCTTCATAGAAGTGCATGATTTTGGAAAATCAAATTTTATTTAGAGATGAAATTCGTTCCCACCTCATGGGGTAAGTACCAATTTGTTTATGTGGGGAGGGAGAGAGAGAGAGAGAAAAAAAAAATGTAGTAGTTTATACAGTGATTAATAGAAATATCAAGAATTTTAATGACACAAATATCAAGTAATTTAATGCTACAATTGTTTATTTCACAGAGATACTTATGATCTATTAGTAGAAATACCTTATAATGATCATACAATCATAAAGTTTGACTATATATTTGGCTAAAGTACTTCTAAGTGTTGAATAAAACAGACGTTTTGCAAAATTAGTTAAAAAGAATTTTGCAATACTGTTGATGTATTAGAATTCAACGAGTATGAATGTTTCTTATAAGAACATCAAAACCAAAATAAAAGAAAATGACTCTTGAATCTAACATAAATAAATAAAAGAACTTATGCATCTATAATATACATTATGTCTTTATTTAGTCATTTATTGTTTTTTCATTAAGAACTCATTTTTCATATATTTTTGTTGGAGTTGTAATATGATATTTAAATCTTTTTATATTACGACAACATTTTTTTATTTAAAATAAAATGCATGAAAAGTTATTATTTTGTTCCTGCAGTCATATGTGTAATAAATTAATTAATTTATCTTACTAAATTTAATCGGTAAAAAACATTCGTCGCCACGTGCATCGCACGTGCACTTTACTAGTGAATATAAAAATATGTAGTGTATTTATTAGTTATATGAGAGTAATAATAGAAAAATATGTATAAAAGATCCAAAACGTCATTTATTTGGTTAATTGTTAATAAAACCAAAATGACATTTTTTTTTAAAAAAAAAAAGGTAATATTAGAGATCTATATATATCTAAAAAGGTTGATGTAAAAATCATTTTTTAGAAACCTAAAAATAATTGAGTTGACTTTTGACTTTCTATTTATGTATTCTACTTTAAAATCGGAAGAAAAATCGTGAAAAGACAGTGGGTATTTTGTTAATTTAGCATGAAATTTGCGTTAATTAAGCAAATGGATATTCTCCTTAATAATGGTGATATTTCCGTTAATTAAGCATGTGAAATTGATTGTAAAATCATGGGACTTACTATCTATCCAAATACAATCCATAACTATCTTATCACTTTTGGTTAATAAAAAATATGTGAAATTTATTGTCCGTTGCAAAAATCGGGACTTACTATCTATCTAAATACAATCCATAATTATCTTATCACTTTTGGTTAATAAAAAATTGTATAAAAGGATATTCACTACCACCATTACAACACGAGTTCAGAGAAAAAAAAAATATAGAGAATAATTTTTCATCGCATATACAAACTTTCAGGCTTTTTATCGCATATACAATATAATGCTCCCAGGCTGGGTACACTTGATTCCGTTAACAAAAGAAAAAACTTTTTTTGCGTCTGAGAGCACCCGGCATTATTGAAACTCATCACGGGAGATGTAACGCATTCCATATATCGTAGGCTGCTTTCATTAAATGCATAATACATTATCCGAATATGAGAACAACAAACTTTATATAAACTGAAAGCAGTCTAATTTTTGTAAAATATGTAAACTTTAAACGTGTTTTTATATGTAAAATTGTATATACTTTTAAACATGTTAGTTGGGCAAACTTTAAGGATATATATATGTGTGTCTATGCTAACTTTAAGTATATATATTTTTCTTATAAAATAGTCTAGACAGAATTGAGGTAATTTCACATTTTTCGATAATAATATAAAATATGTTAATACTTTCACATATGTTATATAATAGTCTACGTATTCTTAATGTCTTTTGGTTGTAACATTGTTAACACATATAATATTAGATACTTTTAAACATATTTAGATAATTTTTTTACTCATTCTTTAATATCTATGTGCATAAAAAAAGAATAAGATTTATAAAAGATTTTCCGGCAATATATTAAATGTTAGATAAAAAATCTCATTTTATTTGTTATATAATATTTCGAGTTGCATTAATTTTGATTTATATGTGTAAACTTGATAAATTAAGCGTATGAAAAGAAGCGTATGAATTACTGTAAGGATTTAAAAAATAAAAAATAAATCTAATTTTTTAATATTTTCTACTAACATCTAAACGAATTTATGTCATAATTCGTCATAATTTTCCCACATCATGTCAATATTAATTTTATATATACTAGGCAAAAGGTAAATCATTATCTCAATATTTATTCTATATATTCTAAGTAAATCTTCTCATCTATCTCAACGGTCCGCAGGTAGTATTTCATACTTTTCTATTCATAATCAAATATATCAAAGCTTCACAAATTTTACTTCACAAAGAAAGTGTTCAATAATTTATATTTTTTTTCCTTCTTTGCAATCCATTTATTTTTGTTACATATATATAAATTATATTATTTTTAATATTTCACACGTTAAACATTTAAGAAAAATATACCATCCCGTGCATCGCACGAGCTACGCGCTAGTCATATAAAAGAAGATAAAAACAAAAAATGATTGGTTCATTTTCTTAAAGAGATTTTCTGAAAAAGGCAATATAAGTGGGACAAATTTCGAGAAAGTGCGATTTATTGTTGTTGTATGAGAGGTGTTTGCTAGCAACGGTGGTGAGGCGACAAACCTTCATCCTGGGCCGTCGATCTGCGTTGACTTTGCGGGCCTCGTATCTGATTTTCTTGTAGAATAGGCGATTGCACCTCTTCTCCTTATACCGCAACACACTAGCCTCTCGGATTCCTACGTTGTCCCAGAACAAGTCTATCCGTGCCAGCCTCGCCTGCGCCCAACCAATCGAATTAAACCTCATCAAAAATAAAAATAAAAGACCAAAAGGAAAAGGAAAAAAAAAATAACCTTTAAGTGCTCTCTTTGTTTAAGAAAAAGGAAAAATAAAGCAGTAACTTATGTCTTATAAATTATAATGTACATCTCGGATTCTCCGTGCTAAATAAATAGGCTCCTGGAGAATTAAAAAAATGTTTTTCTTTTTTAAATCAGTTTAGTACTGTATTAGTTTAATTATATGTTTATGCTTCTAATGCCTGTATCAATTCTTTAATATCTACAATAAAGTATGTATATTCTACACGTGTAACTCTGATTACGTCAACATATATATAGATATAATACATAGCACCTTTTATCGAAATTGACTGCTGTTTGTTTTGACCCAACATGACTTGCAAAATTCATATACACCAAAGAAAATAAATCTCGTGACTTATAATTCCCTGATGTACGTTAAATTTATGCAAAGGTAATATTTATTTTTTTTCAAATAAATGGCCAACCCATCTCCAGCCAACACTAATTTCCAAAATTACGAGTGAGATAAACATTTTATGGCAAAACCAAAAAAATATGAGAGAAAGAGAAAGGAGAGAGCGCTGCAAAATAAAATCCCCACTTTACATAATGCAGAAATCATAATTACTCCAGGTAAGTTTACTTTTGCAAATACAGTTGTGAAAAAATTGAGATATTTGCATCTAAAAAGTCAGCTCAGCTCCCTTTAGTTTTATAGTTTCTTTAACAACTATGTAGCAATTTTAATGTCTGTTTAAAAGTGTGAATATTAAAATTGTAAATGTCCAGTACTAATCTAAAAAAGAAAATAATTGACCTAAATAGTAAATATTAGTACTAGGATGTACAATTTTTCAAAATTTAATAATTTATAAATAAATAGATCATGCAACACGTGGCGCGCTACTGAAAACATGGCATAAGCTGAAAGGCCATTCAAATTTCAAATTTACTGATGAAAAAATAGCCAAATTTTCCAGTAATTCAAATTCAATTC